TTTACCCTCATGGTTTATTCCTTCCTTTCCATTTCAGAGTTGCCGTAATGGTAGCCTAGCTGCAGACAAGGGACCATTGATCTCTGTTGGAGATGGCATGGAAGAAAGGAACAGCTGTCACTCTTTCTGCTTCGGACACCTAGAAATGTCTTGTCTTCCATCCAGAGACCCACCCACCAGACCGGCAAACAGGAAGAGGGCCCGGGGCTCCCTGACTGATCTAGGACAGAGAGATCTATGGAGTACACAGTACCCATCCACTGGAACGACCATTTGTGGTCACTCTGCTCTTTTAGTGAACTGGTCAGTCGACAGCCTTGCTGCTTAAAGTTTAGTGAATGAGCAGGACCATCAGCATCACTCAGCTAGGTCTGAAATGCAGAACCTCCACCCTATATCTGTGGAATCAGGATCTGCATGTTAACAAGATCCCCAGCTGATTCCTGTGGCTATTAAAGTCTGGGAAATAACTGTCTCCAGAAGGTCCTTTCTCCACAAACACATTTGCTCTTTCTTGTAATTGTGGCACACAGTGTGAGGGAAATCTACAGAATCATGTGCCATACTGAGATATATCTTAGTAGAAAATATGTCCCTACAAAGAACTAGATTCCCTATGACCAACTAGGAAACAAACTTAACTTTGAACAAAAAGTTGAGCTTTCTTGCCTGATATGTTTTTAATACTCTGAGATCAGGGAACTTCCTTGTTGCAATGATTTGACGCCTCTTGGAGAGAACTATTCAAATCAGGGAAATAATCAGAAACAACTTATTCAACCCAAATCTTTCTTCTCGGCAATCCCCAGAACTCTTCATACAGCCCCTCAGGTGNGAACTTCCTTGTTGCAATGATTTGACGCCTCTTGGAGAGAACTATTCAAACCAGGGAAATAATCAGAAACAACTTATTCAAGCACCAACCCAGATCTTTCTTCTCGGCAATCCCCAGAACTCTTCATATAGCCCCTCAGGTANATTCAACCCAAATCTTTCTTCTCGGCAATCCCCAGAACTCTTCATACAGCCCCTCAGGTGAAGATGAATCACAAATTTTCAAATCAGAAAACAAAAATAGTCAAGCAAAATAAATTTCTCCTAAGATTTCTTTAGCCGTTTTCAGTATCTTTGTGCATGTTCTCATAACAGCTGAGGTCCCTGGCAGTTACACTGATTTATTTGGATACTTTGCCTGATTCTTTCTTATTTGGGACTTTGGGTGATAACACAATTAGAGGTTAATACTTTGATTTTTTCCAACATCCCAAGGCCACATTCTCTTTAAGCATTCCAAGAAAAAAATCTCAAGGTGCTTTGACCTTTCTCTCTCCTGCAATTTTAAGTATAATCCAAACTATTGGGTTTATCCTGTCATCACTTTATCTAAGAGAGCTCTGTCAGAAGCAGTATTCAGTTCACTTTTGTTTCAGTTCACCTCCTCTAACTTCAAGAGTCAACTCAATCTCCACCTCTTCTGTGGAGGAAACTTTCCCTGACCTCCTGAGAGGGGACTACTCTTGCCTTTGAGTTTTGCTACTACTGGTATCCCCACTCTTCTTAGCATACATTGTATTGCATGTAACACTGGTGTGTGTGTGTGAATTTATAGGGAAGTCTGGAAGGAGCTCATTGCCCTCTGGTGGAGGAGATAAACATGTAGCATATGTACATTTCATATCAGGGCAGTGCAGATTTACATGAGATATCCAAGGCATTTCATGTGCAAAATAATATTTATTGAGTGTGTGACAGACATCCCCTACATAATGACTTTTCTCTTAGGAGATGGTATAATACAGTGCAGGGTAGGAAAAAGTTTTCTTCTATCTTCTTAGGGCCCTGGCTGGGGCTGAAAATTAAACTGAAAGTTAAACTGACAATGACAGATTAACAGGGGAACGGAATACAAATTTTTTTTTGGAGTTTTTATTTTATTTTATATTTTTAAAATATGTCTGTATTTATTTCAGAGAGAGGAAGGGAGAGGGAGAGAGAGAGAAACATCAGGGATGAGAGTCATTGATCGGCTGCCTCCTGCACGCCCCCTACTGGGGGTCAAGCCTGCAACCCAGGCATGTGCCCTGACTGGGAATTGAACTCCGATCTCCTGGATCATAGGTTGATGCTCAACTGCTGAGCCACCGCTGGCCGGGCATACAAATATACTTAAGTTTTATGTGACACATGAGCCTTCATAAGGAAACGAAGACCCAAAGAAACAGACCTGAATATTTATGCTAGGATGATGAACAGTGGACAGCTGTGGAGAAATATGTTAGGTTAAGGAGTATGAGGTGAGTGTAGTGTACTGGGGAAACTTAGCAAGTCTGTTTGAATCCTCCTCAGTGTCTGTCAATTTGTCTTTGGAAGGCACCTCTTACAGGAGGGTTTTACGACCTGTTTCAGAGGAGAAGGGTAGCGGTGAGGGGAAAGGTCAGAATGACATTCTTCTACTGTTTTCTCAAACTCCTTCAGCTTAAAATATTCAAGATGCTAAAGTGTCATATTTTGGAGTAGTATGTCCTGAACCCCATCATTAGTAAAGCATTACTCAAATTGCCCCATTAGAAACTTTTCAAGATTTTAATAGCTGCTCCACGAAAAAAGAATTTAATGGTGAAATTAGTTTGAATAAAGTTAAACTTTATAATGTTTTAATTTCTTCCTGCAATACTTCTCAAAACTTTTAATGTGCTGATGTGCCTTTGTTAATCTCCAGAAGTGAATCCAGTGTGCAGCATTTCCTGATCATACAATTCCTCTGTGCACCACCCCACACAGTGTGGAGACACTGATCTCATGGTTGAGAGCAAAGTCTGATATCTATGTTAATTGCCTGATATTGGGTCATCTATTTAAGCCTCAGTGTCCTCTTCTGAAAAATGTGCATAATACTTATATCTCATATAGTAGCAGTACTGGATCTGCAGCTGAGTTGAACTCAGGCTGTTACACATGGCTCAGCTTAAGCACGTAGGTGGCCAAATGGCTTCCCTACCTGTACCCTTTGCCTTTTAACAGGATCTGAGTCAAGATTAGGTCAGTTCTGTTATGGCCACAGTCCTGCTGCTCAGACTTTTATTTTTTAAAAATATGTTTTTGTTGAGTTTTGGAAAGAAGGGAAGGGAGAGAGAAAGAGAAATTAGGTTGAACTAGATAACTTCTAGAGTTCATGCTCTCTAATTCTAAGGTAGAGTGGAAGTAATTCTCAAATTGCAACAGATGAAGTTTTTGTATTTCCTAACTGGGCTGATGAGCACAAAAGTCCTAATTACACACCACTTAATTTTTTTTCACTTCGAAAAACCACTTTAAACTGATTACCACCAATATTGTTGATATGAAGGAATTTGACTTTGGTTAATCTATTCTTTTAGACCACTGTATTGGTTATTACATGACTATGTAAAATTATAAACTAGAATTTATGCCTAGCGATCATTTTGATACATTTCCCCCCTGTCCTCTATGAGCAGGGCAGCTGTGGAGTGGTTCTGTGTGTAGGATTAAGAAACACTGAAGTTCCTGAAATAGGCCAGATGTTTTTATTTGAAAGCAAAAGATCACACCTAGTGATTTGTTTACAGGATTCACAACAAAACAAAAGATTAAAAGAAAACTTTCCAGGGACACAGGTCATAGAAACCATCCTAAACGCCACAGCTTTCCCAACTCCAGGGCCCAGGGGACATTACAAAAGACACAGAAAAGTTGATCTTGTGCTGGTTGTAAGAATTTGTAGATTAAGGTTACAATGACTAATAAATTACAATGAAAGTTGCAATCTGAAGAGAGACTCCTACTTTGCCTTGACTTGGTGTGTCAACCCACTATTGGAACAATACGTCCAGTAAAATACACACAAAAAAGAGTGCTGTGTAGCCCGCAGATGGGTTGGATTGCGGGTCAGGACACACGCCCGGGTTGCGGGCTGGATCCCGGGAGGGGGCCTGCAGGAGGCAGCCGGTCCATGACTCTCTCGTCATGGATGTTTCTCTCCCTCTCCCTTCCTTCCTCTGAAATCAATAAAAACGACATATATTTTTTAAAAAGTGATTTTTAAAAACGTCCTAAAATTAGTATTAACGGAAACTTCAGGAATACTTTTGTGAAAGATTTCCGCAAAACCAAACCAAAACCACCACGTGTTTGTTTCTAATGCTCACCCAAGGACGTGCTCGCCGCTTTCAGAGGGGAGAGAAACACGGATGAGAGAGAAGCAGGAGGGCTGCCTCCCAAACCCACCCCACCGGGGGTCAAACCCACAACCCAAGCAGGCGTCCCGACCGAGCATCCACCCAGGACCTTTCCATGTCCCCTGCAACCAACTGAGCCACACCGGCCTGGCACCAACCATGTCTTTAAAACCGAAAGTGAAAATTGTTATAACTTGTGATTAATCATTAGAGACACCAGGTCTGGTATTTCGGTTAGTTTTAGAGAAAAATCACCATTTGAACAGAGTTTTCTTTTTCTTTTTTAAGGCACCAAACCGTGCACCTGAGC